TCCCCCCCCACTCTCCCTTAAGCACAAGTCCAATTTTGAAAATTAGAGCGCCCATGGAAATCCTAGTAGGGATACAGATGTGTGAAGCCTCCTGATACACTGAAAGGTTAACCTTGGCAACACACTAGATGCTGCCCCCAAACCCTCAGCAGGCGAATCCTAAAATTCATCCCCAAGCCTGGGAGTATTTTGAAAAGCTCCAACCTCTGACGCGGAGCCAAAGGAGCACAAAAAGGCCCCCAGCAGCCAGGCAAACATTGCGCGCAAAGGTGGGGTAAGGCGAGCTACTGCGGAATTGAGTTGTAACAGCTGCTACACGATCTCCTGGGAAGAATATCTGATTACGCTCTTTTGAGCGCCCCGCAATAATATTGCCTACGGGTCTCTCATAGCGCGTGCGGTCTCCCAAAGGTATGGGGGTCTTCTTGAGTCTAGGTTTTCGGGTCTAGGGGGGAGTAGGTAAACAGTCTTGTGATCCAAACCTGTTGATTAGCATGAGAAACACTTGGAGAATTCACAGCGAAGAATTCTTCAGGGGGGCCCCTAGGCTTCCTAATGCCGAAACTATGCTTGGCTCATTGTTTTGCTTTTGGCTTCCTAAGAAGACAAATCAGAATTGAAAAGACGTACTTGGCTGTGACTGCCCTGATCATGATCTTTGACAACTGTACAGCGCATAAGGATACACTAAACTAAGCTCTAAACCCCAAACCATAAACCTAACACTAAACCTTAAACTCTAAACCTTAAACTCTGAACCCTAAACTCAAACCCCAAAGCCTAAACCCTAAACCCTATAAGCCCTAAAACCCTAAACACTGAACCTTACACCTGAAACCTATGCTGATCGAGGTGAAGTTGTGGAAGCCTGCATTCTCCGCAATGGCCATGAACCTCCAGAAAATTTCAAACCTTGTTGAAAGGAATCGCAATGTGCTGAAAACCCTGCCCCCAAAACCCCAACACCTCTATCCTCCCTCTCCACAACATAACTCTAAAATCCCTAGCCAACAGGAAAACCACGAACTAGGAAATTTCAAAAAGAGGCCTCTCGGCATTTCGCAGCTTCGCCAGTTGGGATGCTGAAGCTGGGTCTGCGCTGTTTCGTGCTTCTACCTGTGCGGGGCCGCTGGGCAGGGACAGGGATGTACCAGTTGTTGAGTTCCCTTGGCCAAGAGCAATATGGGAGCTGCAGGTTTTAAGCAACTATGAAGGTAGAAGTAATCCTACTTGTGGGTAGCTGGGCTCGAGAGAGTTTGCTTGTGGGGTAGGGCAGACTTCAATGTGCTCGGAGTCTAGGGTTTGGATTAGAAATTTAAGGTTTAGGCTTTCAGGCTTAGAGTTGAAACTGTCATCTCCAGCACTTACACTTTCTAGGTAAGGATCCAACGCTACAAGAAGTGACTGAATCTAATCCACTAGTATTTAACATCCACCTCCTCTGCGCGACGTGACAGGTCTTTAGTGCCAGGAGGCCAAGAAGAAGGAGGCCATAAACCCTAATAAAGCCTGCACACGGAACGGTGTGGCCTTACTTTGGTGTTCTCCACGTAAACTAACCCTTCTTCCGCCAAGAACTCCTAAGAATTTGCAGCCAAACTCTTGGGCGTACTTGCGGTGGTCCAACCCAGTGAGATTATGAAATCTATTCTTCAAGCACACTATACACAGAGGGAGGATAAATAATCTGAGTCTCGATTGGTGGATATAGTATTCTGAAATGGAATACTACACGCCTGAGAGTCTCTTGAAAAGTGGGCAGTTGGGACCTCTGCGTCATGAGCATGCATCGTTCTAGTCTCAAACAAAGACTATGTACTACAAACCAGTGCACCGCTTAGGATGCAAGGGACATATAGAAATCCTAATAGGACTCTGCGAGCCCCCATTTTTAAGCTCTTAACCTTCACCCTAAACCCTACACGGTTATAAGGTTGGCTTGAAGAAGTCGTGCTTCTTGGAGCCACCCTTTCAAGAAACTGGGTTGCTGTTAAGGAACTTGAATTGAGTTGCTATGATAAGGAAACCCTTTTATGTACTAATTTGCTATATACGCCTATTATGGCAACTTAATCTAAGTTCCTTAACAGCCGAACGCGCAAAGCAGTTCCGACGTCTCACCAGAAGTCAACTTCAAGCACAGCCTCTCAGCGATCGTCAAGTTTTAAGTCTGCAAAGGCATGGTGCCTCAGCACTCCAATTCCCCGTCTCATTTGCTTTTCATCCTGCGGGCCAACAAAGACTCAACTTCACCTTCGACAACATAATGTCCAGTCTGAACATTGAAAATCATGTCAGGCGGCGCTAAACGCAGAACGTAACGGAGCGCAACGCCATGAGTTGGGTGGCACCACGGCGGGAATTTGAGGGACGGCTGTGCAGATCACAAACGCTTCCCAAGGGTCCGTAAGGCTTGGGTTACAGGGAAAGGGTTTAAGTGTTTTCAGGTTACTTGCGCACAAGCTTTCTCAACTGCGCCAAAGGCACAACAACTTCCAGCCACGTACAGGTACTTCATAGGTCCCGTTGCCAAGCCTCCTTCCAAACGTCTTCCAAGCAACTCCATTCAACTCTATCCGCATCACGCAAAAGTGGCACGGCCTCTCAGCGATCGTCAAGTTTTCAGTCTGCATGGGCAGTGCCTCAGCACTCCAATTCCCCGTCTGTTTCGTTTTCATCCTGCGGGCCGATACAAACTCCAAATAAGCTCTTGCTTGGAGACCTAGAGAGTCCAAGACACCAATGAATGTACTCCACATCAACTAAAGGATCCCAGTATCATGTTGGGTATATACCTTAATCAAGCAGTATCGGGCTCTCTGTGTATCGCCAGGGGTGTAGGATTCAGCACCGCATGCAGAACACAAGCCAAGGAGTGGGACTGTAGGCAAGAGCTCGAGGAAGCCAATGTCCCAGCCAGAACTTCCGGCAAAGAAGCTTCACCCAAAACCAACAAAGCCTCAGCAGTTTACAGCCAGCCTCTCAGCGATCGTCAAGTTTTTAGTCTGCAAAGGCGTGGTACCTCAGCACTCCAATTCCCCGTCTGAGTTTTTTCATCCTTCAGGCAGGATATACGGGCCTATTTGATCAGAATAAGGTTAGAGGTAAACTATATTCATCTTTGCATTTGTTTAGGCTTGTACAAGAACAAGAACAACTTAGCAGCCAGGGCGGAAGCCTCACAACAAGCTGTGGCTGCTTCCCCTTACCACGTCAGAAAACGGAAGCTCTCCGCAAAGCCTCCAACAAAAACATCAAGCAATCAGATTGCTCACTGCCGCACGCTAGCCAACACATCAGTAACTTGCACGCGCACCCTTGCAGGGGGCCGGCCAGCCAGCCGCCTTTCAACAGAACCAATTGTCACCTCATACAAGCCACACAAGGGCAGGGCCTCTCAGCGATCGTCAAGTTTTCAGTCTGCATGGGCAGTGCCTCAGCACTCCAATTCCCCGTCTCATTTGCGTTCATCCTTCGGCCGTATCGGAAACAAAAACGGGCAGTCCAACCAAGCAGCAGGCACATCACAATGGACTTCTAGGACCTGTTTGTTTTATCTGTGCCATGGAATGACGTCCATCTTCAACTCAGCCAATCTGTTCTTCTGTGCTCATGTACAGTACTTAGTTCTGACTTGTTGTTCCTCCGTTAATATTTCAGCCAGCAGTGCTTACACTCAGCAAGACCCATGGAGTGAGAGGGCAGACATTCGCACGTAGATGTCACAGCTTGTCTCGCCTTGACTGTCTCCTCTCTGATTGTGCCTGCTGGTTCCTTGTAGGGGGCTGGTTGGAGGAGGCCGTGGGAATTAGATACCTCCCTGCGGTTGAACGCCTAACTCTGAAAGCTGGCGAAAAACGGAATGGGAGCCGCCCCCGTTTTGAACCTCAGAAGCTACAATGTAATGCTTGCTGTGGGAAGCCACAAAACCGAAGCCAAAATTTTGGTAAACCCCAATATGGGGACTTTGAAAGAATTTTAAGGTATTGATCCATCATACCCACAATGAAAACCGCTGGTCCGAATTCCATAAATTGTACCTTGGTACTGGGCCACCCATTCTTTGTGGCCTTCCTTGATGATTCTACCTTGCTACAAAATTCCTAGCTAAACCCTGAACCTGAAACCCAGCCCCAGCCCCAATCCTGAACAAAAAACCCTTTACCCTAAATCCTGCGCCCTAGACCCTAAAGACTTCAACGGCTCGCCCCACGGTCTTCGAATGCTTGCGGGAAGCCGCACTCCCTGCCACAAGGGAGTCTTAAGCTTGAGGACCTAGCTCCGGGTTCCCAAAATTGTTGGGAAATACTAGCCCAAGAATAATGGAGAATCAAATGGAAAAGAGCATGGATAACGAAATGGAAGCTGGGATGATATAGTAGTTTATAGGGTTAGGGTTTCCCAAAATTAGGGATCCGTTTTTGGGGGTCCCTACAACGAGTATAATAGTACACTGCATGCGGTCTATGTTGGGACCTTTAGAGGCACGGGGTTCTTGGTGATCAAGAAATATCGGGATGCATGTTTGGTGATTCCTTTCTTCTCCGGACGCGCTGATTAAGGTTCAGAATGTCCCGGAAAGGCACATACCAATTTTACCAGAATTCCTGCGACTTCTTCTGGCGCTCTCCTAAACTCTAAACCGGGAAAAATCAAAATAGAGGCCACCCACAAGTCCCCTGTATAAGGCTGACCCTATGGCCACAAACCATTTAAAGAGAGAGAGAGAGTCTTGCACTCTTCCGCAAACTGTTCCTATCCCAAATCTGAAGCTCCCGGTCCCAGCTAAACCCTGAAGCCTAATCCTACCTGAGTTGCTCTTTAAGCCCCAAACCCAACAAGTCCCTAACCCCAAGACCTATCAATCCTTATGTAACCTGAGTTTCCAGTTCAACTTCCAACCTCTTTTCAAATCGATTCTCGGCTGATTCCCAACTCAAGTCCCAGAGCCTGCGCGCTCCAGCTTTCCGCGTGTCGGAATCACCACGGGCGTGTTGCCCTCACGTAGGGCTCGGGCATGCCTTCCCAAGGCATGCTAAGCGTAGTAGTGGTGGTCCTCTAGGAGTAGGGGTCGGAGAAGGCAGGAGAAATGGGAGGAGGAAGAGGAGGGAAGGATCTAGTGAAGGATGGAATGAAGGAAGGGCAGGTGAGAAAAGAAAAAGCAGCAGCAGCCGGCGGCGGCAGCAGCAGCAGCAGCAGCAGAGGCCCGCAGCCGCATGGACGGCATCAGCAGCAATGGCGGCAGTGAAGCTAGAAAGGGTACTTACGATAAGATGAAAGGACTGGCTGCGGCTGGGGTGTAACTAGTGACCCCGTAGAGCTAAACCAGAATCCTGTCGTCCAAGAACATGGAAAACACCACACTCTGAGCCCGCAGATGCTCAACACCAAACACACCCAATCCCTGAAACACTAAACCCTACCTACCGCCCAAACCCGAGGAAACTAAACCTTAAGCCGTGATGACCTAAGCAATGAAACCCCGGCTCGTGACGCGCAACCCCTGACAACCTAAACACTGACGCCACAAACCAAACCCTCAAACCCTCAAGCCCAAAACCCACAACACCTGACACGCAATCGAAGACGTACATCGATCATGCTGGGACCGCTGACTCTCGCTTTGCCCTATCTTCAATGCTTCCGTAAATGGGTATAGGGCCGTCAAACTCGAAGACCCCCCATTGAGCCTCAAACCCTTTACCTCTATGCCCCAAGCCGTAAGCCTTAAACCCTCACCCACAAAAATCCCTAAAAGGAGTACGTTCCTGGAAGGGAGCTATATGAGCCTTCATTTTCGTTTGGGGCTGGGTTTCGGGTTTAGATCCTTAAGCCCACACCCTAACACCCAAGCTGACACAGGTTGGTGATCTCTTTCAATAGGCTTCTGTCGTTTCAGAAGAAGGGGGTTCTCAGAGGAGGGCTATCCTTTATCCTTATTCAGGTGCACCCTGAGGGAATACTGGGATACTTGCACAGGGAGGGGGATCCTTCTTAAAATCAAGGATTGAACAGGAGCAGCTCTATCAAAATTCCATGTCCTCTATGAAGGTACGTAGACCCTCTACCAAAGGCCTACAGTGATTTCATAATTTGTTGTTGTTTAAAGGGTAGGGAGGGAGTGGATCCTGGTCAGACTCCGTACATGATCCCCTGCCTACCACTACAATAGAATCTTTGGTATATTCCGTCCCCACTCTGTGATACGCGCGCGTAAGCCAAGGGACCCAAAGGCTTGCATAACTCCTAGTCCTGAGTCAGTCTGATATGAAACAGTGGAGGGGCCTGCTCATCCACATCACCGTCACTCATGTCGTCCGAGTCGCCATACCTGGGAGTCTGGATTTTAAATTGAGGGTTGGGGGCGTAGCCCGACGCGTCCAACGACCTAAAATGAAAGGAAATTTAGACGCCAAGTGATTCCTGTTGGGCGAAGGGTTTGGAGCTTAGCTTCAAGGCTTGAAGTTTTGGTCTGAAGTTGCCTTTAAACGTGCAGGTACTAGACCTTACATGGAGACATCGCTCTCCTTATCGCATTCTCTGAATCTCCTTGCCGGTCGCAGTCGCGGCACTAATCTTGCAACGACATACCAACCACCATCTTGGAATGAAAGATCTGGCAGAGCAGCGCAGTTTCAAATCAGCCCCGGCTCCTCAACACAAGCGATGGGATAGGGACGTCCAATCAACCACCCTGGCATTAGAGCTTAGACGGTGGAAATACCCAGCTCTAACCGCAGGTCTTGTGGGTCTCTGTGTCTCATCCTTGGATATTGAACACTTAAAACGACTGGGCTTGGCGGGCCTCGGGGCCAACTCAACACTGAACATGAAATCCTCGTAAGCTTTTACACTTAGGCTAAGCTCCCTGAAGCCAAAGCCCTGACGCGGACCCTAATGGCGTTTCCACGGATCACGCGAAGACCCGAAACCCCTCAACCACATAGAGTTTAGGGTTTTCTAGCATTTAGGATTTAAGGTTACTGTTCTCGGCGAGGGAGATAAATACTTGATGAGAAAGGAGCCCGAAGTGTATTCGAGACCCACATAGGGACCTGTACGCTGCTGGTCCTGCAAATGCCTACCCTGAACCCTAAACCTTAAAACTAAACCCTAAAATCTAGCACAGATTGTCCGCCACGACCTGAGCTCCAGACTCGAAATGTTCGTCCCAGTACAGCCTGCTGGCTCAGGGTTTACCCCAAGGGTCCCCCTTAATGGAGGCGCTATTAAGGCTAATTGGGGGGTCTAGGCTTTAGGGCTTCTAGCTGGACTAGGTTGCATCAAGAACCATGTATCCATGTTTCAGAGTTCTGCGTCTTGCTGTTTTCGTTCAGGCTTTGGGCCCGCAATTGTGCCAAGATTTGGCAAGCCAGACCTGCTGGTCGCACGTAGCCCACACACCAGGATCTAGATATTAAGGACTCCCTGAACCCTGAGCCCCAAATACTAACCCCTGAGCCTGAGTTTCCCAGGACCCCTAGCGCGTGTTCAGCCCAAGTGCTCTGGCTCCCCATTTTTAGAATCAACACCTCACAGGCATTGCAAAAGGCTAATGCTTCGCCTTGATTCCCGAAGGCCGTAAGCCTCAACAACATAAGCCCTGAAACCTGAAACCTAAACCCAACGCTCTGCAATGTGCTGGGAAGCCAGCACGGTCTCGTGCACGTTGCGGTCGCCATAGCGGAACCACCACCTAAGCTCGAAAGTCCATGTTCAGCTCTTATATAGGGGTTATATAGGGCTGACAGGAATTAATTCCATCGAATCACGTGGAAGGAACATGGACAGTGAAATCGACACTAGTATGATACATGCATTTAGGTACCAAGACCTTCCTGAGCAAGGGTTTGGGATAACATATACATAACGTAGAAAGCTGAAGAATAGCGAATGTCTTGGGGTTTCATCATAGTATAAGTCTGCGAAGGCTACAGGGCACTGTTCATCCAGCCTTCTCTGATTGCCATACAACCTACCTTATGATTTTGCAGTAGTTACGTGGACAGGCTTTGCTGCAACTACTCCCTGGGCTTGTGTGCCCTGACAGTTTTCATAGTTTGTCCACCCTAACCACAAAACCAGCGCCTGCGAGGTCCGCTTGATGTCTCTCATCCTACTTCGCATCTTTACCCGAAGGCTACCGGTCCCCAGATACTCCCAAGCAAGTATATCCATAGACTTCAGGGCTCCAACGGAGATATACTTAATCAACTTGAGGACCTAGGGCCGCAGGTCTTGGCGCTACTCCCAACAAGCTGCATCATTATCCATGAGGCCACTAAGCTTTCTAGCAGGATGTTTGCCATGGACCTAAATCTTAAGACTTACAAAGTTACCTAAACACTGAACCCTAAACACAAACTCGCGAACCTTAAGCCCTATACCACATACATCCCCGCATACTCCTTTATGGCCCTGTAGCCCCCTTTACAGAGGACCCCTAAGCCCATGGCGCGAAGATGTGGTGGCTCCTGTCATCTGCCAAGCGCATGGAGAAGTGGACCTTGCCATCGGGCGAAACGGTCAAGGTTGAGGGCTTCGGGTCCCTTAAGGGTTACGTAGGAGCTTTTGCACTTTAGAGTTTGGGGTTTAGGGATCAGGTGGCTTTGGGGTTTTGAGGCTTGAAGGGTTTAGGGTTTAGGGCTTAGCGTGTGAGTGGTTTCAGGGCTGAGAGGCTCATGTTCCGGGTTTAGGTTTCAGGTTCAGTGTGTGCGTAGCTCAAAAGCGTTGAGGCTTATACGTCTGTTGTGTAGGGTTTCGGCTTTGGGGCTTGATAGGGTCTAGGGTTAGATGACTTCTGGTCCAAAGCTTTCACATTCCAGAAAAGGACCTTGGCAGAATCGAAGGAGAAGAGCAGTTCAGCGAGCCCAACCGCATACTATGGACTCTATGGCTATGATATGACACACCGGGTCCTTGTTAAAGAGCTTGCCAGAACCCTCCTGCGGTCTCTTGTTCAGATGGGAATGCTCCCTAAGAGAAGACAATCATCACTGGAGTCACCGAAATGAAACAAGGACACCCTACCGTATGACTCCAGGGACTACAATCCCACTTCTAAAGACCCCCCATACTGACGAACCCATAATTAGACAACCCCCTGACGTTCCTCAAGCATAGAACTAGACCCCAAAGCCTCAACCCTAAGCTTCAAACCCTACGCCCTAAATAGTAGCTTCCCTTTTCTTTTCCATTATCCCTACATAACGCTACATAACCCTTGTACTTGAAGCCCCCTCAACCCTAAACCGAGCCTCCACCCCACGAATGAGCTGCGCATTGAGCGTCAAGTCCCGAGCCTGCAAGGTGCTGAAGAGCGGATGCCAAGAGTTTATGAAGGTTACCCATACGTCCCTTTGAAGGGTTTAACTTATAGACGCGATGTAAGGTTTATGGTGTAGGGTTAGGGGTTTAGGGGGGTTGAGGAGTCAGCCTTCGCCCAGAATGCACGCGCAAACCCTAGTCCAGGCCCAAGTCAGTAGCATGTTAGCTTATGTTGGGTTCTGATGTGGTTGCACATACCCCAACAAGTTCCAGGCTATTCACTCATGTACTACACTACAGGACCATGAAGAGGGTGTGGGGCTGAAGGCTTCTTGGAGGTTCAGGGTAAACCTCTCATGGAACGTGTCACCCTACTACTACCATGTGGGGGTGCTTAGCTGGCTTACAGTTGGCTTACAAGTACAATCATAATCGACGAAGAATTGCCCTAAACCTCCTCTAAATATGGTTGGCCATCCTATATGTGCAGTAGGGAACAGGCGTCATACAAGGGTGTACAGTGATCAGAATGAGATAGGGTGTCTATACATATAAAGAAACATAGTAGTTAGGATATGCCAATAAGGGTCCAAGTTGAAGGCGGGTATCGTGGAATCCTTAAGCCCCAAATCCAGAATTGAACATGGAAGCTAAACCTGACACCTCAGGCCCTAAGCCCGCTTAAACTCTATACCCTAAACCCTAACCGCTGAAGCAGATCGTCGAATTGCCTTGGCCAAGGGTGTCCTTGCAATGAGCCGCCTTGCAGGACTTAGGTGTTCTTCTTAAGGCAACAAACAGGCTGTACATTTCAGGGTTTGAGCTTGATAGTTGCAGGATTCTAGGATTCAACTGCTATTTTGAGGCTCATGCGGCTGATTTTTCAAATTCGGCATGAGCCCCTGCACGGTGTACTTTTGGTAGCGGGCCTTGGGCTTCTCGAAATTTTGGATCCCTTTGAATGGTAAGGGACAATGATAAGCGCCCAAAGCAAATCCTGCATGCGTGCGGCTTTCAGAAGGCCTCTAACCCCACCCCCATCTACTCCACCTTGGTTGGTCCTTAAAGGCCTGCGGAGATGTTAGTAGGTAGCACCCTTATGAAACTCATTGGGGCACATCTCGAAAAGCCCTGGGACTAGTCCAGTGTGACCCAAACACGGCGAAGCAACCCATCCATTACACCCTAGACCAAGCCCTGCAAAATCCTTGGAGGCCCTCTAAGAAGTGTGAGCTTTCAATTGCGGGCTGAGGGTTTAAAAGCTCAGAGACTTAGAAATCAGGGCATAAGGTTGAAACCCTGTACATCCTATCAGGGCCTGAACAAAGGCCCAGTTCATTTGATCAATTGTCAACATCATATGTTTTACGCCCGTTGCTATATTTCGGCCGCCCTAGAACAAAGCATCCCCAAGTACTTGCTGAGCTTGATGGCCCCCAAAACGGTTGACATTTTAGTTATCATGGGTGTATATATATATATATTTATCTATTTATTTATACCACGAAAGGTTAAGGGTTATCTGCTCAAAATAGTTTGCAGTTTGCCATCCCTCCTGCCTGGCATCGTAGTTGATCTCCCGCACGGCCACTTCCTCGGCAAGTTTTGGGCTTGCTTGGCCAGTGGGCCCTTTGAAGCATGCTGGTGTCTTTATGAGACCCCAAATGGCCACAAAAAACTCTCAACCCAAGACCCTATAACTCTGAATATTGAAACAAAGCAAGAGCCCGAATGTTGTAATAGTAGAACATCCAACCACGAATGAAGGGCTCTATACCAAATTGCTATAACTACTGAGCCCTTCTTATTGGTATGACATACCCCGGCACCCTCTCCATGAGAAGCCCCATATAATTGGGCTCCCCTAGCATAGGTCATGAATTTCATGGCCTGGTCATTTTAAAGTCATTCAGGTTTCATTCCTGGAGCCCGGCCTCGTTAATATTAACTCAATAGTACCGTGACTTTTGTTGAGGTCATGATATGCCATCTCACGAACTTGATGACTTTGATGCGCGGGCTTTGAAAAAGCATAAAACTTTGTGCAATCATAGGCATCGAAACATCAGGGCCCCAGCATTCTGAGCTTCTTCCAGTATTGAAGCTTGTGAAGCCAATGCTTCACTGATTAAATGTGTTTCCCAGCTGCCGCGCCGAAATAAGATTATACACATCAGCGGAGTAGAAAACTGCAGCCTTGAGTCCTGAAGCTTAGGCTGTGTGCGATCAATGTTTGCACGCAAGAAATTATGAAGCTCTGCATTGCGGCTTCGGGTCTTGGACCCCAGGCCATATAGTAGTAAATTTGCTGAATTCTTGAAACTGTCGTTGAATCATTAGATTCCAGGCAAGGGATTCAAACATGAAGAATCTGCCGGCCTCTAATAACACTTGCGAGAGGCCGGCAGATTAATCTTTCAACATTATTAAAGTCCCAGGTTTGGAGCGTGATGCTTTCATGAACGTCAAACATTCTGGTGGCCGACAGATGAAATCATTCAAGCTATTACAGTCTAAAGCGCACCGGGACTAAGCAAAACATTCAATTATTTGTTTCCGACCGCTTCTGATCACATGTTACGTATTCTTCCCTCTGCCCCCCGCCCCGCAACCCCAAACCTTTAGATTCAACCTACATCCTGATTCCAAAAACTGACATGCTAAATCCTAAACCCGGAACTAATCTAAACCCCAAAACTCAAGCCAGTAAACCCCAAAACAGGTCCAAGCAGCTCCCATCACTTCGCGGCCTGCCAGCAGAAGCGATTCCAAGGACTCCAGCACGAAGACCAAATGCTCGACCTGTAGGTCTATGGGTTAAGGGGTTAGCGCTGAAGGCTTTATGGTATAGGGTTTTATGATTCGGGTTATATAGGGTTGAGGGTTCAAGGTTTAAGGGTGAAGGGGCTAAGGGTTAAATGGGTAAGGTTTCGTTTAGGGTTTAAGGGTTTCAGGGTTCGAAGCATGGGGTTTAAGTTTAAGGTTCAACAGGTAGGACATTGGAAATATGGGCCGCTAGTATGGGCGCGTAACCTTTCTGAAGGTGTTCTAGGTGCCCCTAAAGGTGCCTCTAAACCCTGCTAAACCCTAAACACTACACCCTAAACCCGAAAGCGCGTATTGGGCCCAAGTGAATGTATATACATGTTGACCGTGGCTTTCATGTTTTAACAGAAGACGTTTGCAAGTGTATCCAGAAGCGGTCCACATATAAAGCAACTGCTGTAGGTACCCAGCTGGTACCCCTTGAGATCCTTGGCTATGTATCCCAGAGGGTCCGATCATCAAATAATAGGGTGCTTGGTAGTCAGGTTTTAAAAAATAGAAAATCTGTTTTGGGTAGGTCTATGATTTCTAGTTTCTTGGATCCGAAGGTTATGGTCCTTTAAGTTCAGGCTTTGGGCTCAGGACTTGACCGAGCGGTCGTAGGCAAGCGATATTGACTTGTTCTTGCGAGTTGGTAGTAGAGAATTCTTGGTATTTACGCCCAAAACCTTACCGGCTAATCAATCTTAAGCTGAACCCATAGCTACTTGCACAAGCCCAGCATCCAACTCCCACATCCTAGAGTCCTGCATCCTAACCCAATAAGCTGCCAAGCTCTGAAAGAAGTCCTTAACACCTGCAATATTTATGGTTAGATCAAGCTGTGTGGCAATGATGCCTTGTAGTTGGAAGCCTCGCAACCATCTAGAACCCAACACCCAAACTCCACACCACAGCCCTAGAGGGAATGCATAACTTAGATTGCAGGGAACTGGCCTTTCTGCACCCTGTAGCCTGATTCGACGCCTTATTCCTGAACCCTTACGGGCTTAGTTTAGGGTAACCATTTGAAGTTAACGCTCTCAACCAACAGCAACTGAACCTCGTGCCTTCAATGGTGCGGCTAATGGCGCGTTGTCCTCCGAAAATTCAGGGATTTGGTGTTTTGGGTTTGGAGGATCTGGATTCAATGATTTTGGCGTAGGATTGCGTGGTGCATGACTGCATGCCAGAAGACTTGTGGGGATGGTTACTTCACATCAGCACACCCAAACCACTTTTCTGTGGCCTCACAGATTGTGATCTTGTGTATTGGTCAAGGACATAATAGTAAACCCCGGGTGCACACTGAATGAGACTCAGTCGCCATGCAGACGCTTGGCGAGAGCATCGATAATGACAGTGACGCACATGTTTACTTTACGAGGCGAAATAGGACATCGTGTGTGCCACATTTTCTTGGCAGACCAGAACCGAATCCGTCCAGAAGGGAGCCTAACCTGCCAACACGCGAAACGGGCCTAGCGGCGATGAGGACCCAACATCCTCATACCTGATGTCCAGACATGTAAATCCACCCAAAACCTGCAACCGTGCACCCAGAACTAAACCCATAGTATCCCCCCTGAACCCTCAGCTCTACTTTGACCCTGTAAACTTTCCTAAGCCCCCCCAAAATAGGAGTTCCCTTTGGACTTTGGACCCTGCACCTGCCCCAAAGCCCCAAAAACTCGATTTCAGCCGCTTAAACCCTAAACCCTAACGGACACCCCCCCACAACGGGCGAGACAAGCCTGGAACTCCCAGACCCCCTCGAAGGGCTTCATCACCTGGCTTTGCTTCCGGGCTCTAGGTTCAGGGTTTCCGGGTTTGGGGTTTAGGGTTTCATGGTTTAGGGCTGAAGGGGTTCAGGGTTTAATGGTTTCAGGGTTTTAGGGTTCAAGGCTTTAGGGGCTTCATCGTCCAAGTCCCGTGTTCAGGATCAAGATTCATGAATGGAATTTCTTTGAGGTGCTTGGAAAATTTGGCGTTTAGGGAGTTAAGGTGGATTTGGGCTTGAGGTTGGTGATCTTGGTGTAGATTTCGTGCAGGATCCTGGGATTTACAAGGACTACAGAAGGATTATGGGGATCTCTTTTCTCGGATCCATGTAAGGTCATGTTATACAAATCTATATTTAGGAATGTTTTGGCGTCATCGCAGCCAAAGCTGTTGGATGCCTGGTGGAGGCGACCTTGAAAAGAAACCGAACCGTATGGAAGGTGTGGGCTTTTCTTGGGTGCTCTAGATATTAGGGTCCATGTTGTAATGAGAACCCAGTAAAGGACCACGAATTTGACAACCCCCCATATGGAAATGCCAGCGTACACTGCAGACATCTGCAGACAGAGGTAGACCCTACCTGCACCAAGAAGATTTCATCAAAAGTGTATGAAGGCTTAAATAGGACCGCAAGTACCAAGTTTGCGCAGCGCGTGCACCGGGACTGGAGATGGCAACAGCTTGAGTGAAACATGTAATACACTCACAACTATGTGGTGGGGATGTTAAGCTCCCTAACGTGCTTCCAGGAGGTCCTGTCTTTTTGTGGAAGGCTCAAAGACAGATGCCAAACCCTTCCAGCTGGGACCTGAACCGCAAACTTTCCAGCGTTACAAGCATTGAGCCTTTTGCTTAAGCCCTCGCCCCATACTCTACACTTCAACTCTTCGACCCGAAGCGTCAGCCCTTCACCCTGTACTTCAAACCCCTACCCTAAGTCCCAAATCTTATACTCTTAAGCCTGAATAGTAGTGTCATGTTTCCATTTCCCTAAACAACTCTATAGCCGACGTAATTGAAGCCCCCTAAAGCAATAAGCCCTCTACTAAATCCACCGAAAACCCTAACCCAAAACTCTAATCCCTACACCCTGAACCCCAAGCCCTAAAATCTTATACCTAAACCCTACACCCTAAGCCCTAAACTCGAATCCCTGAACCCTTAAGCCCTAGACTCTAGTCCTTAAGGCCCTAAGCCCTAAACCCACCCGAAACCCCTCTGCCTCTCTCCGCAGGCCTTCCGGGGCGCCAGCTATCAGGATGGCCAGTGCCTAAGAAAATCAAAGAACTCCACACAGCCTGGGTTGCTGTTAAGGAACTTAAATTAAGTTACCATAATGGGTTTAGGGTTTAGGGTTTTAGGGTTTAGGGTTTAGGGTATATTGTCCCCCTATAATGGAGAA